TCTCAGACTGCAGGGCAATAACCAGTGAATTTATGCAAGTAATGTCATCACATAGGATAGAAATCTGCATACAAATGGGACAGCATCCCAGCTTCCAAAAAGCACCATGAAAAACAAATGCCAAACAAGTACTGCACTGAACTAAACCAGACATTTAAAAAAAGATTTTCAACACAGGTATTAACCAAAGATAAGTTGGCTGTTTCCAAACTTCTGTTATTTTCAAACTATTGCTGTTCAAACTGCACTTTTTTCCTGCTGCACTTCCAAGGAGCAAAGTCTACAGAGAAAACTCTACAGAGTTGCTACCCCTCTTAAATACAACACTAATTAGGCACCAATTAGGACAACAGGTTTCCTCTCTTACATATACTAATTGATAACACCCAGTACTCAACAGGTGCTAATTGATAACACCCAGTACTCAAACACCTCAGCAGCACAAAAACAATTACTCCAGTGCTTAGTAAATATAGTATAGTATAGTATAGTATAGTGGGTGAAAACCCGTTAGTATATTTTTTGTGCTGTCCCACTGGGGAGATTATCCTTCACTTCATGTCCCAGAGACCTAACAGGAAATGAGAGGACATTTTTCCATAGAGGGGGGTGCTACCTTCCTAGACAGTTGTCCCTATTGGAGAATTTCCACTCTATTCCTATTTCGGTGACAACTGTAAAACTTTGGATTTTCAATTTCCTCTTCTGAAGTCCCATCAGTGACACATAAATCAATTAAAACCCAACAAAGGATATGATTCCTCCTACTCTCACCAATTAGCCAATTGCCCCTGTTGCAAGCAATAAAAACCCAACAGAGGAAAGTTAGCCCCATTGGAATCTGATCCTTTCTACTCTACTCTCTTAGACAGTTGTTCCCTCTGGAAGCAATGAGAACCCACAAGTGAGCAAATGAATGAACTGAAATTCCCCATCTGAAACACAGAAAGCAATACAAACCCAACAGAGGTTCTGATCCTTCCTACTCTATCCAAAACTAAAAAAAAATTAAAAAAAAGGCTATACATCCATAAAAACATAATACAAATATCTGCTGACCTCTTTATTTGTATAGAGGTTAATTACTTTTTTTTCTTCTTATCAGTTCCTGAAAAGCTGTCAAATAAATGGAGACATAAACTGACAATTTGGAGGAAAATGGGAGATGAGTTTATGCAGTGCATATTGTAATTTTAAACCGAGAAGGATAATTTGTCCTCCCACATCTTTCCTCTGTGATTTGCTGGGATGAAATACTGTCAGATGATCGCTTCGGAACAGATGCTGTTTATGCAAATGTGCCGTGTTAATAACAATATCAGTCGAAGAATTAAATTCTCTTTTTGTAGGAACAATGGGAGAGAAGTATTAGCACCCTTGGTGTCTTCCATGCTGATGCGTTAATTCACTTGTTGTCTATACATATTATTTCTTTTAGTCGTGTTCTCTGTGGCCGGCGGTTTGTACACACTAATTACTCCGTTGTTTTTCTTAGCAGCGTGGATTGTATGGCCTGACAAATAAAATAATTTGCCAGTTTCTGAAACTTCATCGATAGTCAATTGACGAAACTGAGATTTACAAAGAGCTGGAAAGGGCATGTCCATCGGTGAGGAAATATTATGTGTATATCAAGGTCAGTGACAGCGTTTAGCTGTCAGCATCCTTATCTATGTCACTGTCATGGAGTTTGAGAAGACATGCAATTTTAAAGCAACAAATAATTTGAAAGATTTGAGCATTGCTTAAAATAATAGGGAGACCATTTGGCCATGTAGGATTTAAATATAGGGTGATAAGAAGAATTACTGAGCATCACATGTGCCCGTTTTCTATACTAGGCTTTCCCTGACAAAACTAGGCTAATAAAAACGTTTTGCCTACATGCCCTAACTAGGGATGAGGTTCCGGTCTGCTGCTGCCATAAGGTTGTAGTGAATCCCTTGAGTTCATGAAGCTTGCAGGTATGCTGCCAGAAATAAGCAACAGCCTATAATGCAGGGAATAGCATTTCCCTGGTCAGCAGAGTCACAACAGCCAATAATTTGAGGGAATAGATAACCCAGCCTCCGGGGAACATGCCCTACATCTACTACTGGGTGCCCCAAGTCTCAAGGTCTGCCAATTTGCTACATACATTTGCTTCGGTGCAGAGCTGCCAGTGCTGTACCCCCCCTAGCCACCATATTAGTTGTGGGCAATATTACCTGGCCTAGCCAGTTTCCATGTGTATTCACAGAGGCCCGCACAATTCAGAAAAAGGAGTTCGTGTGGATGGAGTGATAAGGACCTGTTGGTAGTGCGTCATTTGCTCCTCCTCCAGCACCACCCACATGTGTTCCTGCTGGTGAGAACAGGAGTAGTGTAAAGAATAGGAGCGTCCTGTTCCTAGCAGTGTACCCTGCATGGTGCTGCTGGCTGAGCTGCTTCCAGAAGAAGAGATCAGGAGGAGAAGAGTTAGTACTGGTCTAAGCAAAGACTTAAGTGAGTAGCACAGTGTTATACTGAAATGCTGGAATGGGTGCTTGGGCTGCCTGATATATTGGGCACGGACTGTACAACCAATGCTCTCTCAGCTGTGTCTGATTAAATATAATCTGTGGAGGGATTTATGACTGCTGCTGTTATTGTGGCTGTGCTGTATTGTTGGGGGATGGGAGCAAAGCAGCTTTCATGCCTCTAATACATTACATAGGGTGGTGTGTCCTGACCCCTGCACTATATACATTACACACATCTGACTCCTGCACTATGTACATTACGCACACCTGACCCCTGCCCTATGTGAATTGCACACAATGGACCCCTGCACTATGTACATTGCACACACCCCTGCACTATTAGTATTACTTACACCTGACCCCTGCCCTATGTACATTTCTTACACCTGATCTCTGCCTAGGTCTATTACACAAACCTGACTCTTGCACTATGTACGTTACATATACTTGACCCCTGTCCTATGTACATTATATATACCTGAGCCCTTCCTTATGTACATTACACATACCTGAAACCTGCCTTTTCTACATTACACACACCTGGCCCCTGTTCTATGTGCATTACATTCTCCTGACTTCTGCCCTATGGCCAATACATAAACCTGACCCCTGTGCTAAGTATACTGCATACACCTGACCCCTGCCTTACGTGCAATGCACACACATGACTTCTTGTCTATGTACATTACGCACACTTGACCTCTGCCACATGTAAATTACACACACCCTACCCATGTCCTTTGTACATTGCACCTGACCCCTGCCCTATGTACAATACACATACCTGACCCCTGTCCTACATATATTACACTGGGGTTTAAAGTTATTTTTTTAGCATTAAATGCATATTGTAGCGTATGCAAAAAAATTAAAACATTCTCTGGAAGACAGGTAGTTAATCCCTATAATCCTGCCTCTACTCCAGTGGGCATTAAAGCTCTCCTGCTTCAGGTTCTACTTACTCCTTTGGCCACAAACGTCCCAGCCCCTTTAAGCTCTTTTTTAAAGGTCTCACTTCAGCAGCGCTCTACTCAATGTTCTTCTATTTGTGAAAATTGTATCAGGATTTTGATAAAGTGGAAGTTAGAATCAAATTAGGGTTAAAGGAAAAAAAGTAATTTAATTCTTATGGATGACTGAACTATGATTAGATTTCACTTAACAGCCATCTATTATTTTTCTAATCTGCACACATTTGCTATTATAAAAAGGCAGAATTTTCAAGCGAGACATTCACAGCGACATTTTTTACTACATTTGTCAAATGCGGGAAAATATGTTGACATGTGACTTCAGTAGTTGAAAAAATTTACTGTTTCTGTGCGCATTGGGAAGGAAGACTTTTTGTACCCTGAGAGCTGGTGGGGGGGGAATCACTCTGTAGGCTGGGATGGGGGAGTCTCTGCAGTCCAAAGAGAAATTGTGTTTTTGCACATTGAGGTTCCTTTTTTTTTGTTTAGTAGGGGTGCTGTTGGTGCACACTAGGGGCTATTACAGCACATTACAGAGTTCAGTTGGTTGGGCACTTTAGCATATTTGTGGGGGGTCACATTGACACAGAATAATAGGGTCTATATTCTGCACACAGGGTCATTCATATCTCAAAATGTAAATAGGTTTGCTTTAAAGCAGTTCATTTGTTATCATGACCTATTTATTTAATGCCGTGCACCCCAATGCATGGCACATGCAAGTGCTTTGCTCATTACTGTAACAATTCTTTAGGGTGGCATTAAAAAAAACATAACCGCATCACACCATTATCCACAGATTACAGTGTGTTAGATTGCGCATTATAGTGTTACCATAAGGCATAAATGTGAAAGGGCAATACAACATGCGCTACTTTACAAACCTTTTAAAACTTTTTCTTCTGAAAATATTTCCCTGTATATTGGTTCCTTTTCTAGATGTGCTTTGCTCTAATAACACAGTTGCCATATTTTATATATAGTTATTTTGTGTTCCATTTTAGCCAGTGTCCTTGAGCAGTGATTTTCTGCAGGTCTTTATGTGTGTTGTGGTCAGTAACTCTCTCCCATGAGCAGAGCGCTGTCAGGTGATAATGACTCTTCATTGGCTGCAGAGCAGGCATGTTCTTTGCTATTCTCGTAATATTATGTTTATTGCTTTATAGGTTTTGTTTCCTATTGCTGCTGTGAATTTATGGACATTCTGCAACCTTTGCATTATATATACATTATGTAGCACACCCTTGGGTGATGCTTGGCTAGATATATAGGTTCGGCTCCCACCCGAATCTGGTGACACCTCCAAATATACCCAGAACACTTTGAATATTTTTTATGGGTTTTATTGAAGAAGACAAACTCTGAAAAAGAACTACCGTATTTTTCGCTCCATAAGACGCACCTGACCATAAGACGCACCTAGGTTTTTGAGGCGAAAAACAAGAAAAAAAAATATTCTAAACCAATGGACTGCAGACACAGTACAGGGGATGACCAGAGACTGCGGACACAATACAGGAGATGACCAGAGACTGCGGACACAGTACAGGAGATGACCAGAGACTGCGGACACAGTACAGGAGATGACCAGAGACTGCGGACACAGTACAGGAGATGACCAGAGACTGCGGACACAGTGCAGGAGATGACCAGAGACTGCGGACAGTGCAGGGAATGACCAGAGACTGCGGACAGTGCAGGGAATGACCAGAGACTGCTGACAGTGCAGGGAATGACCAGAGACTGCAGACAGTGCAGGGAATGACCAGAGACTGCAGACAGTGCAGGGAATGACCTGAGACTACAGACAGTGCAGGGAATGACCCTGAGACTGTAGACAGTGCAGGGAATGACCTGAGAATGCAGACAGTGCAGGGAATGACCAGAGACTGTAGACAGTGCAGGGAATGACCAGAGACTGCAGACAGTGCAGGGAATGACCAGAGACTGCTGACCTTTGGGGAGGGAGGGGGAGCGGGTACCTGAATTTGACAGGTACCCGCTCCCACTTCCGCGGAATTGTCCTTCGTTCTTCTTCCCGGGCCGGCTTCTGTGACAGCCGGGTGCCCACTGCGCATGCGCGAGAAGCGCTGCGCTTTGTGAATGGCCCGGCGCCTTCTGGGACCTGTAATGTGTCCCAGAAGACACACGGATCATTCACAAAGCGCAGCACATGTGCAGTGGGCACCCGGCTGTCACAGAAGCCAGCGCGGGAAGACTGTGCAGCGCTGGAGCGAGGAACAGGTAAGGCCCTGCAGGAGACAACAGCTGAGCGGCCAGCCCGGTATTCTGACATGGTGGCGGCAGAAATACCGGACCGGCCGCTTTATATTCGCTCCATAAGACGCACTGACATTTTCCCCCCTTTTTTTGGGGGAAAAAAGTGCATCTTATGGAGCGAAAAATACGGTAGCTGATTTAACACAGGTAATGTACATAAAACACAGATACCACTTTGCATAACACAGTTAGTAGGAAATCACTCTTCACTCGCCAAAGACTCAAAAAACTGACTAGTATCACATGAGAGTGACATTGACACATGAAACAATAACTGTTAATGAGGTTTAGCAGCTTATTAACATTTGTTATAGCAGTACTATCTAGAGCAGAAATGTCCTACCTAACCACTGGCCAGTGGGATGAAACTTAAAGTCTCTCAATGTTGGGGCCCTTTAATCAATGGAAGAGCGCTCACTCTCTGCATGGGAGAGTATTTGTAATTCAGGGGTAGCAGGACAGCACAGTCCCCTTTAAGCAGAATCTTCCAGTGAACATTGCAATAGAAAGAAACAACCCTTCCACAAAATCTTTACCATACAGGTGAAATCCTGATATACTGACACTTGCTCAGTATATTCAAAGCAGCAAGCTTCTGTGGGGACTTGAAACTAAGCACACTCTTCAGCCACAGCACAAGTCTTGAGGAGACAATCACCAGTAATATACAGAGACAGTTCTCATCAATCAGCAACAGGAATAGCTAATTCTGAGCAGCTTGGGCTTTCCAAGATCTGTGTCACTCTGACAATTAGAGAGCAGGCTTTCTCATGACCATTCTCCAGAGATGAACAGCAAATGCAGCAATATCAAAATCCCCTTTCATCACAGAGTACTCACTGTTTCTGGATTGTCCTCTAGATAGCATTAGACAGTAGTAGAAATCCTCTCTCTTTCAGCAGCTCCAGACTTTGAGAGACACATGCACTTGAGTGGCTGTAATCCTGAGTGTCAGGCAGGACAATCCTTGATTTGCACACTGTCCTCCTGCAACAATTCCTCTGCTACACACTCCCAGCCTAGCCCATGGGCTCTAGCAGCACAGAGAGTGAGACTCTACACCAGTGTGGCTTTACACCAGGAGCCTTTGCTCCATGCGGTACCCTGAAAATGTCTCCTTCCGCACATGTGTTTCTTCTTCCTTTTTTCTCTCTCCTCCACAGCCAATCATCAAGTCCAGCTGCAACAGTGCTGCTATGGGTGGGTCCTTCTCAGCTGTAGCAACAACCAATCAGAGCACAGTCCTGCTTTCCCTGTCTGTCACTCACAAAGAGGGAAAAGAAAAAAAATGCTTTGCAACTGCTGTTTAAGATTTAAAGCAACCAGCAACCAGCACATCTCTCTCTCTCTCTCTCTCTCTCTCTCTCTCTCTCTCTCTCTCTCTCTCTCTCTCTCTCTCTCTCTCTCTATATATATATATATATATATATATATATACAGTTGTGTTCAAAATAATAGCAGTGTGTTGAAAACAGTGAATAAAGCTCAAAATCCTTCTAATAGCTTTTATTTCCATACACACAAATGCATTTGGAACACTACACATTCTATTCCAAATCAAAACATGAAGAAAAATAGATCAAATTTGTGTTGTTCCTCTAAAACAAATTAAGAAAAGTGAATATTAGACTGTTCAAAAAAATAGCAGTGTTTGTATTCTTTACAAACTCAAACATTCACTATATAAACTGAAAAATGTTTGAAGATTTTGCTTTCCTTTGAATCACTTAATGAATATTTAGTTGTATAAGCACTGTTTCTGAGAACTGCTGTACATCTGTGTTGCATGGAGTCAACCAGCTTTGGGCACCTGTGAACAGGTATTCCAGCCCAGGATGATTGGACTACATTCCATAGTTCTTCTCTATTTCTTGGTTTTGCCTCAGAAACTGCATTTTTTATGTCACCCCACAAGTTTTCTATTGGATTAAGATCCGGGGATTGGGCTGGCCACTCCATAACATCAATCTTTTTGGTCTGGAACCAAGATGTTGCACGTTTCCTGGTGTGTTTGGGGTCGTTGTCTTGTTGGAAACACCCATTTCAAGGGCATTTCCTCTTCAGCATAAGGCAGCATGACCTCTTCATGTATTCTAATATATTCAAACTGATCCATGATCCCTGGTATGAGATAAATAGGCCCAACACCAAAGTGTGAGAAACATCCCCATATCATGATGCTTGCGTAACCATGCTTCACTGTCTTCACAGTGTACTGTGGCTTGAATTCAGTGTTTGGGGGTCGTCTGACAAACTGTCTCCATCCACTAGACCCAAAAAGAACAATCTTACTTTCATCAGTCCACAAAATGTTGCGCCATTTCTCTTTAGGCCAGTCAATGTGCTCTTTGGCAAATTGTAACCTCTTCAGCACGTCTTTTTTTCAACAGTGGGACTTTGCGGGGGCTTCTTGCAGATAGCTTGGCTTCACATAGGCGTCTTCTAATTGTAACAGTACTCACAGGTAACTTTACACCTTCTTTGATCTTCCTGGAGCTGATTGTTGGCTGAGTCCTTGCCATTTTGGCTATTCTTCTATCCATTCGAATGGTAGTTTTTCGCTTTCTTCCACGTCTTTCAGGTTTTGGTTGCCATTTTAAAGCATTTGCGATCATTTTAGCTGAGCAGCCAATCATTTTCTGCACTTCTTTATATGTTTTCCCCTCTCCAATCAACTTTTTAACCAAGGTACGCTGTTCTTCTGAACAATGTCCGGAACGACCCATTTTCCTCAGAATTCCAGAGAGAAATGCACTGTAACCAGCATGTACAACATTTGCTGCCTTCCTTCCTTAAATAAGGGCAATAATTGCTACCTGTTTTTCAAAGAATGAATGACCTCACTAATAGAACTCCACACTGCTATTATTTTGAACATGCCCCTTTCAATTAGTGATTCAATACACAGAATCAGCAGCATGCATGTCATGACTGTTGGGTCTGTTGGATTTCTATTACTCTACTACACCTGCTAGTAAATTATTTGCCATGTACAAATATCATTTCTACCAAAAACAGTGATTGATCAGGTGAGTGATGTCTGACTGCTATTATTTTGAACACAACTGTATATATATATATATATTTTTTTTTTTTTTTTTTTTTTTTTTTTTTTCTTTTCTTTTTTCTTTTTAAGATGTATTAGATATATTAGGTGTAACATACTGGGAGAAGTTTAATCATACTGTGTTCCAATTACCTCTTTCCCCCATTCATTTGTATCTCTAGACATGTATTCATATTAGAAAGAGTATATGTAAAGAGAGGAAAGCCTACATCCAGAAAAATGGTTCATTGCAATCTATTTTCTGTAATGCACTAGGGAAATATACAAGAAAGTCATTTTCCTTGAGAATATTTTATTTTATTTATTAACAAAGGTAGACTGAACTCTCTGCAACGTCTATGGCTAAACGATAGAGGGTGATTTATAAACATGGAGAATGTGGCCAAAACATCCCATTAAATAAACAATAAATTCCTGTTTTGTGTGGTTGCTGACAAGTTGAATTATATGCTGAAAGTAGAGCTATATGCAAAACTTTTTTTCATTTTGGATAGAGTAAGGGAGGGTTATAACCCCTATCAGTATTTATTTATTTTTGCCATCTGTGATCCATTGGGGTGATTTACCTTCACTCTCTGACCAATAGCCTAAACAGCAAGTGTGTGGTAAATGAAGGAAATTCCTTGGGGGCCCCTGGGTCACCAGAACTAATGTCCTCATCAGAAGGTTTCCTCTCTATCACCTTTCTGGGGTCAGCCCATAATTTGGGATTTTCTTTCATTTTCACTTTTATTAATAATGGTAAACAGGACAAATAGAGAGAGAGGGACTCTCCCTAACAGGGGTAAAACCAGCTATAAAAACCTAATAGGTGTTCTAACCCATCTCCACTCTGTCCAAAACAACAAAAAAATGCTTTAATTATATTTAAATTCTTATGTTTCTTGGATATCTCTCTACTGTTGGGCACATCTTGTTACTGCAGTCCCTGAGATATACAGAGTCCATAAATATCCTTCTTATAAATTTTGTTTAAGATTACTTTTGGGGGCCCTATTCATTCTCCCACTAGTATACACCAGGTCTAATGGTAATTTAGTGTAGAAGGATATAACATAGAGGAATACTAGCCTTACTCCTCACTACTTTGACAGCTGCCCTCTAAGCAAGGTCCTCGATGTCCTCATGTGCAATATTTTACTGCTGGTCTGGAAATCTACATGATGGTTTCAGTGAGGGTCCAGCTGAATGATCAGAGAAGAAGTGTGGCTTAGTGGGACTGACCATCCATTACAGAACTGGTAGAGATGACAAAATAGGAACAAAATAGACACCATAAGGCTTGTGGATACACTGAAGAGAAAGTGGGAGAAAAATAAGCCCTGACATTGGTGCCAGTGGTTTAAAATATTTCCATTGGTGGTGAATATGGGAAGAATAAAATAGGTCCCATTGTATAATGGGTATGCTGTGTAGGCCACTAGGGTCTGTTTTAATGGTCCCCTCCTCTGGGCTATGCCAATGAGTAACCCTGCTTATTGAACCCCCCCCCCTTTCATCCCCCACTTTTTTCCCCTTTTTTTCTCTTTCTTCATGACTCTCTGTCAATTTCTACCCTATTTATATATCGGATAGATTTGGTGGGGTCCCTCTAGCAACTGTAA